GTGTTTGGCAGTAGACTACAGAAACAAGAGTATGAGCACAAAGCCTAACTCACGGTGAGCATATGGGAAACATAACAGCATTTCTGGCTATCACTCAATACTGTGAGGTCATCTTTACAATTGTTACAGAGCAATAAACTGAAGTGAAATGAGGCTGTAAGGTGCATAGTTTTTATCCTTACTGTCTGACTCTGCACTGCATTGTATCCATCTTGTTGTTATTTCCTATTACACTTTCCTTCTTAGCAGGCCTTACATGCCCCCTCCTCTTGTTAGTGTAGATGTACCTAACCCTGGCAACGTGCATCCTCCTTCCATCTTACTGTAACCTGAGAAACCAGGTGAGTAGACTCAAAAGAACTGCACACAAAAATAAGGCATGGAGCCTTGGTACTTTTCCTTACATTAAAGCATTTGAGTTTAAGCCTGTTTTGCCACATTGGGATAATATACCTATTAGATGTGGTTAAACATATCAAATATCAATTATGTTAATATATTTTATACTTTTACTTATTATAATCAATTACATTTTTATGTATTGTTAAAATTACATTCCCTTATTATACAACAGGGAAATACTGCTTGTTCTTTCATATTTGGCGTGAAGATTAAATCAGTACACATTGCCTGTGAAAATGAAAAATGATAGGCCTTCTCTAAAGGAGAACTTAATTGATTGTGCATTTACCCTTTGACTTCAGCAATCCTACCGTGAAGAATTTACCTGAAAATATATCCCCATAAACACCTGACAACATACACAACAAGGCTATTTGCTGCAGTATGACTACACTCTGCCTCTTTATAACAAGCATCCAATCAACCAGCAAATATGATACCTGAGATGGAGGGGCACAAGATGACCTAGATAAAGTTAAGAGAAATACACACCACTAACTTTTAATGTTTTAATAGAAATTTTCTTGCATCCTGGTTTTATCATACAGAGTTAAACTTAACATTTGAAGAAACATGAACTAAATGTTGGGCTATTTTAATTGCATTACTTACTTATTTTGGATATAAGTATATAAAGATAAATCACATATGTATGTGTGGGGGTATTGCAATTTGTGTGTTTGCACATGCGCATGCACTATGGCATGAATGTAGAGGTCAGAGGACAACTACCCAGGGTAAGTTCTCTGCTACTTTCTGAATCTCGGGGATCTAACTTGGGTTGTGACACTTGGTGGAAATGCCTTTATCTACTAAGCCAGTGGCTCTCAACCTTTAAGACCCTTCCTTATACTGTGCTGACCTCCAAACCATAAAATTATTTTTGTTACTGTAATTTTGCTCCTTTTATGAATTGTGATGTGACTACCTGATATGAAGGATCTGATATGTGGTCCCCAAGTGGGTTGTGGTCACCATACTAAATCACCATACTAAGCCTTCTTGATGGCCCATGTTGAGTCATTGTAAGGTAACGTTAAGTTTCTTAGATGTTGTGTGATATTGTGGATATATATGAAAATTTCTTTACTTTTAAGCTATGCATGTTGAAGGGCTAATGGTTAAATGCCACAATATCTTTTATATTTTAATATTTTTTAATTCTTTCAAATTTTTATACATTCATACAATATAATTTTATCATATTCATCCCTGCCCCTCCCCCAGCTCCTCTCAGCTCTACCTCCACCCATCCTTACCATCCCCCAACTTCATGTTATGTGGTTTGCACTTGCTAAGACTTCCTATGTGAGATGTTCACACACTTAGGTGCAGTTTGGCTAAAGTTGAATGATGACCATGAAGATCTGAGATATTTGTAGGATACAGCAAAGTAAAAGTCCACTCAAATTTTGTTAATAATGGCTGTTTTCCTGATAAAGTTCAGTGTCTCTGGGACCAGGAGCTGTTCTCTAGCAATTATTCTGTGAAACCTCAAAGGTACTAGGGTGCTAAAATGACTGATCCTGAAACCGCACCCCCCCCCAAAAAAAATCCATGTTTTGAGGGCAGGTAAGAGCAACACAAAGTCAGTGAACCCAATCTGGGAGGCTGCTCTCTGGCAAGCATCCCTGCCAAGCTCCAACCTCAGTGTACTCTCACTTTCAATGAGTTTCCAAGAAAAGGAACCAATGCTTTCTCCCTCTAGGGAGAAGGGAACCTGGCTTTAAGCTACAGGGATTGTCCACAGCAGTCTTAACATATGCGTTAGTCCTAGCTACTCAAGAGGCTAAGTCTGGAGGATGGCTTTGACCAAGAGTTTAAGAGCAGCCTGAGCAACATATTAAGACAATGCATCAATAAACAAAACAAATACAAACTGTCAAAGAGTCTCCACATCCCACTGAGACCTTCCAGCAGTTTCTGAGCTATGGCCTCAGAAGAACTACAGACCAAGGAAGGATGTCTTAGATGCTGGTGTCTTTAATATGATAATGTCCACACATCTCCTGAAGCACAGATTGATGTTTTATTAATGATGTTTACTAAAAATTTAATTTCAAAGCACTGCTGTTCCCACATTGTTTTGATAAAGGCTTTGTGGTTTATTTATTTTTCTCTGGATGGTAAAAATGAGAAAGATAGAGGACAAGGCACAGCTTAAAGCTAGGCCTTGGGACTTGCTGCTGCAGATGGAGAACTCATAGTGCAGTTCAAAGGGTCTGAGGGAACACCTAAGAAGGGTTTCTCTCTGAGCTGCTCTTTGGCTGTATCGTGATGCTTTGTCAACAAATGCTCCTCAGTGCCAGCACTAGGGGATAGTCTTGGAATAGTAATCACTGACCACTCTCCCTCCACCTACCACCCTGCTTCTCCAATCAGGGCCCAAATATACTGGGATCATTTTACTTTCTACATACAGTGCAGTGGTTGGTGAGAGTGTGGAGATGTGTCCCACTGCATCTGGTTGGCTGTGTTCTCTGTACCAGAGACTTTCTGGTCAGGAATTTTTTTTCTGTGACTTATTGCAAATGTAGTTATGCTTATTGAAAGCTTATTGCTACTATCCCCTTTAGCATTCACAATAAACTACAAGGTAGCATTAATATCAAGTCTGTTTTAGCAGTGAGAAAACCAATGTACTAAGAGATTAAAGAGGGACCCAGGCGTACTGGCCCAGAGAGTCTAGCTTCTCAAAGACTGCTATTCTCCCTGTTGGAGATGCGGGCTGGGAGGGTTCTGCATGTTTAAAAAAATGCATCTAGAGCTAGGGCAAGCTGCAGCTCCTTCCCCTGGCTTGCAACATCTATGGGACATAACCCACCCTGAGAGCTGTCCTTGGACCTACCCAGAAGTTGAAAGATAGCTTCTTCCACTTTACTGACCTATTTGTCATCCCTGCCCAAACTTTCCTGAGTCATGAAATCTTTATTAAGTCAGATTCTAGAGAATTTAATGGGGCCAGAAATTAACCAGGCCAAGAAAAAAAATTAAAAAGTAAACAAACAGTGAAATGTTTCTTAGGTATGTCTCAAAAATTACAAATTCGGTCCTACACAAGACAACCTACTATGTGGAGTTACAGGCAGATTGTCCTAGAATTCTGGGATGAAACAACCAAGAAATGTGAGGCAAAGAAAACTGATAAAGAAAGTAAAATTTAAGTGAAGTCTTGGAATAGCAGTAGAGGAATCTGCCCTGCAGACATGAAAGGGGATGTCAGTTTAAACAGAAGGAATAGCATTGGCAAGGACAGAAAGGAAGGTAGTTATATATTCTATAAAAAGGGCTCCAGATTCCAGTATCCTCAAGGTAGGAGTCACATTCAAAGTAGTGCATGAAGCAGACTCTGTAGAGCCTTGTAGGGTAGGATGGGGGAGGTATGGTGAGGTAGGGAGGAGGCAGAATGGGGTGGATTGGATGGGATGGAGTGGGTGGGGGAGGTGGGATGAGGTGGGTGGAGGGTGTGGAGAGATTGAGGGAGGTGGGGGGAGGTGGGATGGGGTGACAGGAGGTGTGGAGGGGTGAGAAATTCCTAGGTTGATTTACTAGTCTCTTAGGTTCCCAGGTGTCACTCAATGAAAGGAGGAACATAAAAAGATAAGTCAGCCCAGAAGAGAATATTAGTTCATTTTGGAATACATGGTATTTGAGATACCTGCAGAACATCCAGGTGGATAATCAGCTTTGAGCTCATTCAATGTGCACATTAAGCCTTAAGCTATTCTATGTTTATTTTCTTTTAATTTTTGCAGAATCAAGTTGTTTGGTTTTCAATCTCAACATGTTTAAGCAATAAGGTAAATACCCTTTTCAGGAGGCATCTGACTGAGTTAATTCTTGGATAGAAAGTGACAGGACATGAGGAGAGAATGGGGAGGCATGGGTCACCATGAGCACATATTTATGTCACTGCTCATGGCAATATAACCTCTCTGGAATTATACTATGCCTAGTCTGCAAGGCCCTCCCTTCTGTGGAGACCTTGAGAAAGTGGGAAGACTAAAGATGGAGGACAGAGTTAAGGAATTGGATCAATCAGTAAACTGCTTCCTGTGTAAGACTGGGAACCAGAGTTCAGATTCCCGGCAGCCAAATAAAAACTGTGTATGGCAAAGCATGCCTGTATTCCCAGTGCCGTGAATGCCGAGGTAGGCCAATCTTTGAGCTTGATGAATGGTTTATCCAAATCGGTGAGCACCAAATCCCAAAGAGAGACCATATCTCAAAAAGTCAGGTGGAAAAAATATAGAGAAGACACTTGTGACACTGAACTCTAGCCTTCATATGAACTCACACATGTATACACACACACACACACACACACACA